ATTTAAAAATTTGTTTTTTTGTTTATTTTAATAATATAAAGCGAGATCTTCCAGATTCGAACTGGAACCCTTCTAAATGACAATTAGAAACTCTACCAATTAAGCTAACATCCCTTAATTTTATGAATTAAAATTTATTTATTTTATTTCTTTTAAAAAGAATAAAAATAGTGAAATAATTAATAAAAACAATAAAAATAAATTAATAAAACAAATTTAAACAAGAGCAAGGTGATTCGAACACCTACCAATGATTTTGAAGATCGTCATACTAACCGTTAATACTATGCTCTTTTATTTTAATTATATTTTAATTAAGAAAAACCAAAAACAAAAAATAAATATTTTATTATAATTATAATTAAAAAGGGGGTAAATTTTAAAGTGAAATAATAAATTAAATTCTAAAATTTAAAACTAAAACTATAAGAATTAAACATTAAAAAGTAAAGTAGAAATAGAAAAATGTAATCCATCTAATATAATATTAGGGAAAATACCTAATAAAACAGTAGGAATTAATAAAGTTATTAATAAAATAAATTCTCTTCTAGAAATATCTTTAATAGGTTTTAAATGAGGAGAATAAGTACCATAAGAAATTCTATTATATAAATAAATAGAATAAATAGCAGATAGAACAATACCAGTAGCACCTAAAGCTGCAATTATAGGACTTCTTTCTCATATTCCAATTAAAGATAATTGTTCACCTAAGAAATTTAAAGTTAATGGTATACCAGTATTACTTAATGTGAAAATGAAAAATAATATAGTAAATATAGGCATATAAGTTACTAAACCTCTAACATAATGAATTATTCTAGTACCTGTTCTATCATAAATTATACCTCCAACACAAAAAACAGGAGAAACAAATCCATGAGCTAAAGCTAATAAAATAGCACCTTCAATACCTTGAATTGTATTAGAAAATAAACCTAATATAACAACACTCATATGTGCAACACTTGAATAAGCAATTAAAGCTTTAGTATCTTGTTGAATAATTGTAGCTAAAGAAGCATAAATTAAAGTTATAATAGCAATAGTTTGAACTAAAGGAGAAAAATAATTAGTAGCATCGGGTAAGAAATTAATTAAAACTCGTAAATAACCATAAGTAGCAAATTTTAATATAGTAGCAGCTAATAATATAGAACCAGCTAAAGGACTATCAGCATGAGCTCTATATAATCAACCTGTTAAAGGTCATAATGGAGTTTTTACTGCAAAAGCTATAAAGAATCCTAATCATAAGATTTTTTGACTTTCTAAATTAATTTCAGATAATGAAATTATTTGAAAATCAGTAGATCCTACATAACTATATATTTGAAGTATAGCTAATAACATAAATAAAGATCCAGCTAAAGTATATAAAAATAATAATAAAGCTGATCTTATTCTAGCTTCACCTGAACCATATACTATAATTATTAAAAATAAAATAGGTAATACACTTTCAAAGAATATATAAAATAATAATAAATCTAATACTACAAATACTCCTATTTGTAATGTTTCTAATAATAAAAATGATATTAAAAAATATTTTAAATTATT